AGATTTTACATATAAGTGATATCATATCATATTTGTCTTTATCTTTCTGACAGTTCACTTAATATGATAATCTCTAGATCCATCCATGTTGCTGTAAATGGCAGTATATCATTTTTGATGGCTGATTCATGTCCCATTTTACATCTATATTTATATACCACCTCCTTATCCATTCAACTGTCAACGGACATTTAGGTCACTTTTCTGTCTTGGCCATTGCACTGTAAATAGCACTGCTCTGAACACTGGGGTGCATGTTTCTTATCCAGTTACAGTTTTCTCTACATATATGTCCCGGAGTGAGATTGCTGGATCATATGGTAACTCTATTTTTAGTTTTTTAACGAATATCCATACTGTTTTCCATAGTGGCTGCACCAATTTACATGCCGACCAGAAGGGTTCCTTTTTCTCCACACCTTCTCTGGCATTCGTTATTTGTAGACTTTTTGATGATGGCCATTCTGACCAGTGCTGGGTGCTACGTCACTGTAGTGTTGATTTGTATTTCTGTAATAATTAGCGATGCTGAGCATGTTTTCCTGTGTCTGTTGGCCATCAGTAGGTGTTTTTAGAGAAATATCTATTTAGGTCTTCTGCCTATTTTCTGGTTGGTTTGTTTGCTGTTTTGAAATTGAGGTGTATGGGCTGTTGGTGTATCTTGGAAATGAATCCCTTGTCGGTTGCATCGTTTGCAAATATTGTATCCCATTCTGTAGCTTGTCTTTTCATTTTGTGTATGGTTTCCTTATTTCCCTTTGTTTCTCTCTTCTTTTGGTCTTTCCTCGTGATTTGCTGACTACATCTAGTGTTATGTTTACATTCCTTTTCTTTTTTGTCTGTATGTCTGTTATAGATTTTTGGTGCGCAGTAACCATGAGGTTCTGGTATAGCAGCCTCTATAGGCGTGTGTGTTCATTTTAAGAGGTTGATCTCTTCATTTCATATCCCTTTTAACTACTGTGCATTTGTCCATTCCTCCTCTCGGGATTACTCTTTCTGACATCATATTTTACATTGAACTCTTTTGTGTATCCCCGTAACTGCTTATTGTGGATACAGCTGATGTTACTACTATTGTGTCTTAACCTCCCTACTAGTCTGTGTGTGGCTGATTTCCCCCCTTTACTGTATGTTTGTCTTTACTGGTGAGCTTTATCATTTCATAAATTTTCTTTTTCTAGTGGTGGCCTTTTCTCTTCTGCCTAGACAAGTTCCTTTAACATTTGTTGTAAAGCTGCTTTGATGGTGCTGAATTGTTTTAGCTTTTGTTTGTCTGTGAAACTTTGGAGTTCTGCATCAAATCTGAACAAGAGCCTTGCTAGCTTGAGTCTTCTTGGCTATAGTTTTGTTCTCCTTCATCACTTTAAGTAAATCGTGCCACTCCCTTCTGGTCTGCAGAGTTTCTGCTGAAAATCAGCTGATAGTCTTCTGGAAGGTCCCTTGGATGTTATTTGTTGCTTTTCCATTGTTGCTTTTAATAGTCTCTCTTAATTTTTGTCATTTTAATTACAATGTGTCTGGGTGTGTTACTCTTAGGGTTAATCCTGTGTGCAACTCTCTGCATTTCCTGGATTTGGGTGACTGCTTCCTTTCCCAGATCAGGGAAGTTTTCCATTATTTTCTCTTGAAATGGTTTCTCAGGGTCTTTCTCTCTCTCTTCTCCTTCTGGGACCAGTATACTGTGAATATTGTGCACTTG